CATTTTTTTTCTATGATGAAAACACTGCGGTGGCAGAAGTTTTTGGGCTTTCTGCAACAAATCTCTCTAGCACTAATATCTTTCGGCAAGATGCTTTTAATAATAACAAATATACATGTTACTAATTAAATTTCAAATAAAAAAGTTGTGTTTACGAAAAAAAAAATCTATTTGAAGAAAATAAAATTGTATTTAATTTTGAAATGAATGTGTAATATTTTTTTATTCTAATATCATGGGCGAGATTCTCACATTTTACTGAACAAGAAATTGCACTAATTATTTCCTTTTTCACATTTCGTAAATCATCACATCAAAAAAATAAATAAATCATACAATTTGTAGCAGTGACTTACAAAAAAAGATTGATGGCGAAATCAAATGAATTAAATATGCCACGTAGAATATAGGAACAAGCAAAGGTGTCAAAGAATGATTTCTGGAATCCACGATCAAATTTCACGTGCCATTATAGTATCGGTATATTTAAAAAATTTACGAGAATATAAATAATAACTGAGCAATGAAAGACACCAGGATTTCAAAAAAACAAAGCAAAAATTTGTAGCAATAACTGTTTTAAGAATGATTGAAATACCTCATGGATTAACGAGAATATCGAGGCAAAATAAGCACGTCAAAGAATGATTTCTGGAGGAAAAAAAATTCTTTCACCATTTTTGCAGAAAAGAAATTTTTTATTTCATTATTCTATATTTCTCATTCTTCTCAAATAAGAATAGAAAAATCACGAACATCTCTTTCCCCTCTGATGCGGAAAAATGGCATTTTTAAGTATAATTTTAGAGATCAAAAATTTCTGCGGAAAAGAAAAATCAAAATTCTTTTCTTCCTAAAAGAAAATTCTGAATGCAAGAACTCTGCAACATTCTGCTACAATGTTGCCTTGATTCTGTCACGGGGGCACTTTGTAAGATGTTTTTAGAATAATTGTTGAATGAGAAACAGCTAAAAAAGCTACAGTACCCAGAAAACTTATAAATAATATATATAAAGAAAAAAAAATCTAAATTTTTATTCCTTGATGTGTAGTATTTCTTTTCATCGTGGTATTTATTCTATGCATTTTTGAAGCATTGTTATATGACAATAAAGTTAACTTCACATGCTAAAATTCAGAAGAAAAACATTAAAATTCAAACTAAAATAAATGCTTTGAATAGAGTTATCTAAGAGCATATATCTTATATTCTGATTCATTTTTAAATCCATTTCTTTGGAAATTTTATAAAAGTTTTCAATAAAGGTCAAAAGACATGAAATTCTGAGAAATCTACTGAGAGTACCTAATTACCCTGATTCTTATCAGAAGAACAATAACACAACAAAGAGATAATATAACACCTCAAAGTAAATTTGAACTTCTTTGGTACTGTACAGAAATAAAATAAAAATAAATAAATTCAGTACTATATTTATAACTCAGTAAGTATGTTTGAACTGTTTTGATTTTCATGAAACTGTTTTTATGAGCACTTGATTATACTGAGAAAATGTTACAGTCCCAAGCTCACTATAATGAAGTTCAACCTGTTCATGCAATGAAGTTCATTACTGTCTTTCAAAATATAAACAATCTCATATGTTAAAAATATTTAAAAGTATACGGTATATTAATTAATTACACAAGTGGGCAACCTTTCTGATAAAATACAAAACTAAGGCAAACAACGTTAAAGAGCACAAAAATATTTATAAAATACAGACAGCTGTTTCGGATGCTCATAGGGCAACCTTCATCAGTGCGAAAGAAAGAGAGTTTTATATACGGTACATTGATTTATTTAATTTTTCGATATTTGTTCACCAAAATACAATAAAATTAATAGCAAATATAATTTTTCTTTACCCTTTTACTTTTATCATAGTTCAGTAATGATTTGTAGCCCAAAAAGTAAACGGCTCAAAAAACTAAAAAAATACAAAAGAAATTTTAATTTAAAAAAAATCAAATTTTTAAAATATTGCTTCAATTACTTAAACCTAAAATTACAAACACACTTCCATGCAAACATGATTTAATATTTTACCAATTAAAATAGAATTGATTACGCATTTAAAAGCACAGATAGTAAAGTTAGATAGAAAATTCTAAATTTAATTTATGAGTAAAGAATTGATGATGTTAAAAAATCAATTAAGATCTATTGTCAAACTGAAAAAAATATTTTTTTTTTTTTTTTAAACCCTTGTTAAACTTTATAAGTAGTCACAGTTGCAAAGCGCAATATGAAGATTAATCAATTCAACTTCTCAAATATTTATAAAATTTCTTACCAAAACCATTTCTTTTCCCTATTGAATCAGAATTTAGAATGTAATCAGAGGATGATAATTGTTTTACACGCCAAGAATCTTCTAGCTTTAACTCTTTGATTTGCTCTGATGACAAACCTTGCATCTGTGGCGGGAGACTCACTCCATGTTTAGACATTTCATCAATTTCTGGAAAAATAATTGACGGAAAAATATATTTTACAAATCATCAAAAAGTTCACACAAATATGTATTCTCATATAAGTAACAATATTCCATTATTAAACAAATTTAAAGTTTCTAAAACTATGATTTCAGAAAAAGTTTTAAAAGAAGTTTACAAAATCAGTAGATTTATGTTTGAATTGCTGATTACCGAAACATAGCCTTTCAATTTTAAGTCTTCCATTATGAATAGCAACCAGGTCCTTTAGAAGATCATCAATTTTAACTGAACAGTTCGTATCATACAAAAAAAGACTTTGATCTGCTTTTTTAACATGCAATCTTACCATTGCTGAAATTTTTATTCAAAAATATCCCAAAAATCTTTCACAAATGTTTAATTAAATCGTGCATAAAAAAGAATAACTTATCAAGAAAGACGAAATAATGTTAAGTTTTTGATGTGTGTTTATTATCAAAACATAACGCGAAAACTTCTACAAGGTACTTTGGGCACAGTAGATACTGTACAAACAGTATATTCAGTTTCTGTTTTAATAACTCTTACTAAACTCCATTAACCAGGGCTCTTTCGATATCAAATGGAACAAAACATTGACTTTTCGAATGTTATCGTAATCAACGAGTAGAATCGTAACCAACGATCGTAACTATGGCAATGAGCAGCGATTGCTTGTTTTTGTTATTGTTGAGAACCATTATTATATTATTTTAAACAGTTTCTGGGATTTTGGTTGGCAGATTGGTTCCATCACTAGGGGCTTGATTGCATCATGAGATCCTTTCATTCCCCCTCATTCAATTATCTTCAAAGTTAAAAGTCCCGCAGTGGACTGATCGTTAAGACACGGCTCCAAGCAGATCACCGAAGTCAAGCATCACTGGCTGCGGTCAGTGTCCGGGTGGGTGACCACTTGGATCAGTCTGCGTAGGGACCGAGGGTGTGCGGTATTGGTCCTCGTTAAACTGTTCTACCTTAAAGTGCTCAACTTCGCGTGCAGGTCGTCGAGCTACCGAATCAGGGGTGCCATCCCCTCTGCAGAGGATCAAAATTGTGATGGCATGTCTTCGGATCATCCTCAGGGATGTTTCCCAGACCGTCGCCAATAGCCCATTGTGCAGCTCTAGTGCGACGTATGAACTACAACAACAACAAAGTTTAAAAAATTATTATTAGATCAAATTATCATTCTCTATCAATTTTAATAAACAAGTTTCCCTGAACACGGTTTAAATTTAACATAATTTCTTAACAATGGAGAATCATGATTGAGTGGTTAGTTTGGATTATTTCCTTGTTGGAATTTAAAAAAATTAATGCAGGGAATTTAGTAATAAAGATGTAATAGGGGGTAGCAGGATTATTGGGAGAAACGTTAGGTGGAGGTTGGGGATATCATATAAAATTAGTATGATAGATACAAAAAACGAAGAGATACAAGATTGAGATCATCTGAAATATTTATTGGTCAAGGATATTACATATACTGTGGTAGATGACGTGTGAAAATATCACAAGAGATGTTCAAAGCTTCCACCACTGCTGGTCATACATGAGTTATACCGTCGGACCAGGGATTGGCGGACTTGCTGAAATAAACCTGGATTTTGTTGTATATCCTCAGAAGCACAGACGATTCTTACAACCAGATCCATTTCAGAATCAATAAGTGCACAGTATTTTTAACTGCATTCTAAAGGGAAAAAAATCCCTCCTTTTAAAATTAAGAGAGAGTGGTGGTCACGCAACCAGTCTACCACACCCAATTCATCTCGTGAACAACAACGCCGAACTGCGAACGAAGATGTCTTCAGCCATGGATTGTTATGCAAATCTGAACTCTTGTGATGTCTTGTGAATCCCACCCCTTAAAGTTTGTTCCAATACTCTTTTGACACCCTGTATGCGAATAGATACTTATAACAAATGAAGGGGGGGGGGGGAAATCACAAAAAAAATCACAAAAAATCTACAAAACTACTATTATTGACTTAGTAACTCAGAACTTAATGATGAGTAACTCAGATTTGATGTTCAATCCTCGGTGGCGACTTGAAGCTTACTCAGCCTGGGATCATGATATCTATAAGTACCAGCTTGCCTGTGAAGTAAAGTGATATCTAAACAATGCTGATTACATTGTCATGTGACGTTGGTCACAAAATGACAAAATTGTGAAGAGTAGAGCCTGAACCTCCATGACCCTCTAATGTTTCAAAGAGCTTTGGTGCGCTGTGCCCCTCTGCAAGATTTATCAATGCGCTCTAGCTAAAACTTAATTCAAATCTTTTAAAATTACAATATGATACAAAAACACTATAATCAGATCATTATATTCAAAGTTTAGTTAAAAGTCATTATTACTTGTAAAATGAATTAAAATAAAAAATCTTACGAAAAAAATATTTTAAATGTTATTTATATAGAAGGGGTGTACAATCTATTCTTGAGTAAAGGACCGCATGCCCAAGTACTTAGACATGTTAATGGCAATTATGATAGTTTTACTATAAACATCAGTGTTTAAGACGAAATTCTTTTTTATCAGTAAACTTAGTAATATATTTGCATAAAATTAAACTCTTTTAATTAATAATAATTCTTTTCTTATTATTTTAATTTTTATCATTAATTCCAATTTTACTTTTCATCAGTCAACCTAGTAATATATTATTAGTACGTTGCTCGATAGATAAAATTCATAATTTTTTTTGACAGCATATATTTTTGTATAAATTTTAATCATGACTAGACAAAACTGTACGTAATTTTTATTTATTTATTTTAAACTTAGCACTAAATTTTTTTTACATGAACAGATTTTTTTTGCGGGAAAACTATTAAGTTTCCTACAAAATAATTTTTGTGTACAAAGAAAAAGCAGATTTTTTTAATAAACGTGTTTTTTAGGATAAAACATAATACGATGAAAAGAAGACCCACGTATCTCTTTTTGGGAAAAGAATTACTCTGTTTGGGGTCATCTGAAAATGATTTTATATAATAATAAAAACGAAGTTTATGCAAAAAGTTTGATAAATTGTAGGAGAAAATTCAGAGCGATATAAATAAATATTATTAATACAAAAATAAATAAACGACGCACACAAAAATTATTTTTACTAAAAAGAGAAGATCTTCTCTCCCTCCCTAGATGTTAGCAAATCAAGTTATAAATTCCAGAGAAAATAATACAGTCAGTTTGAAAATAGTGGTTTTGGGAAAAATGATTTTGAAATCTCGCAGCGTAGAACTAGCAGGTCAGTACAAAATGTACTTGATAAATGTATGCAGAAACAGAGTTTCGTATAAATAATTAAAAAGTAAATTTTATATATGCATTTTTCCTATGGTTTGATTATTTTTAGATCGCATTTGACCATTTGAGCTAAATTATAAGGAGGTATTAGCGATGACTTATAGATCTTCATTCCAAATAATTGTGAATATTTTTTTTTTCGCGTACAGAGTGTTCAGAAATGATCATCTTTAAATATTTATGGAATTTTGAGAGATTTGAATTTTCAAGTTGAAAAGGTATGCAAATTAGCAGTTGCAAATTAATATTTAAATGAGGAAAAACAAAAATTATACCGAAATCTAGCGAATTGCAACTGAGGAAGGGAGATTGGAAACATTAAAATCTGTTTTATTGTCGGCGAAAATGTATAGAGATTTGAAGTTTGTATGTGTAATGGTCAACCCGACTTCAGACCTTCCTAAAGGCTCGACTTTGACCAATTCTTATAAGAATTTAAATAAACAAAAGGGTTTACCCTAATTTAATTTAAGGGTTCATCCTAGAAAAATGGCTGAAAAAATTACGATTTCTGAAAATTTTTTACTAGACCTACCTAGAGCCCCTGAATTAGAGTGTAGAAGCCTTAGACCTACCTAATTAAAACTATTTGCGTGTTTAAAATTGCAGTTTTTTATTTTTTTTATTTATTGAAATAAAAAAAAATAATTAAAAGTGAAAAAATAGTTAAATAATTTTTTTATTTTTTATCCTGAAATATGCCTAATTTTTTTCTAAAATTAATTTTCAATTTTAATATATGTTGAGTCACATATTAAGGATAAATTAAAAAAAAAAAAAAAAAAAAAAAAAAAAAAAAAAAAAAAAAAAAAAAAAAAAANAAAAAAAAAAAAAAAAAAAAAAAAAAAGAAAGAAAGAAAAAAAGAATAAAAGGAAAGAAATTCTAAAAATGTAAAACTTTTAACGCAAATTGGTCTCAGCCTATTTATCACTCTTTTAATACATAGTAAAAGAGTTTCCTTTGCCTGGTTATTATTTTGAAGGATACGTAATAAATTACTACATTCAAATTACAATTTTCTTACAAAAACTAGCATATTTATTTATAGTAATTGTATTTGGAAATATTTTTAACTTGTTAACAAAAGAGCAATTATTTAAAAAAAAAAAAAATTCGAGGATTTTTTTTATTGAATTTTAATTATCTATTTTTTTAATAATATTCCATATGATTTAAAATATCAGTTCATTTTCATCAATATTAGCTCATATTCATCAAGACACACTTTAAAAGATAAAAGTGAAATCTGAAAGGTAAAAAAAGGTTTTTATGAAACAACTCTTTTGGCGATAGGATTTGCTTAGGTGAAAACTATATTAGTATATATATATATAGGCGTATAAAAAAAAAACTGTGTTTTATTTTTTCTGATGGTTAATATTATATGATTTTTCTATTTTCAAATAATATATCGAATAATAATTACTCATGATGATATGTAAAGAAAATGGTTTATTTTCTGTTTAGAATAATAAAGTACATTCATTAATCTAGTTTTAATCTTAATTTTAAATATTGTGAGCAAATAAATAAATAAATAAATAAATAAAAATAAGAAAAGCATGCGTAATTTTTATTTTTTGTTTGGAATTATCTTTGGATAATCGAGCCTTACAACTGACCGCAAAATTTTTTCGTATTGCTTAAGAAGTTCTCAAGATACGCCAAATGCGTAAAAAAATTAATTAATATAATTAATTAAATAGTGTCCAAAATTTCGACAGAATTCCTGACTAAACAATTGGAATCATATTTTTCAGATTGCTGATTCAAATCAGATTTTCTTGAAGGCAAAGAATCCAAATCCGTCAAACAAAAGGAATGTTTGTTCAAAAAGAGTAGTACGTTTTTGTCTCTGGTTTCGTCACTAAAAATATCACCTACTCTAATTAATTTGTATAATATAGATAAGCCCTTCGAACCACTAATTTTAATTCGTTAAAAACTAATCATTAGCTCAGCAGGCTGTTCCCTTTTTTGCGCACAGTACTTTCTAAAGGGAATACTCTATTTGAGGTTTAAGTATTTATCATTATACAGTGGCGTACCTAGAACTTTTGCCGCTCGGGGCGATCTCCAGTTTGCCGCCCTTTCTATTATAAGTCAATCAAATAGTGGTTTTTATAAATTAATACACATAAACAAATTATTAAGTTATTTAATCAATATTAATTAATACACAGAGTAAATTTTTTTAGGCATATTTGTATGCACTCGTAACCATATTTATATAATATCTACTCTTTTCGCTTTCATACTAGAAAAATCGTGTATAA